GACATCGATACCAGGTGAGTGAACCATGGCTGGCGGGGCCAGTACGGGGCTATCAGGATCACGTTGGCGCCGTCTTGCCGGAGACAGACGATTACCCTCTGGATGAGAAGTAGAGGGGGAAATACATAGAGGAGATTGTGAGACCAGTCCATCAGGAATGCGTCTCCCAGAGAGGCGCTGTCCCTTCCTGCTCTGGAGCAGAATCGGGCACATTTCTTGTTGGCATCGGATGCAAAGAGGTCTATTGAAGGCATGCCCCCTTCATCGGCATAGCCTCTGGAATATGACATCGTTCAGGGTCCACTCGTGAGTTCTCGTCGGAAGCCGACTGAGCCGATTGGCCAAGGTGTTGTTATCGGTGGAAATGTGGACAGCAATAGGGAAAACATGGTTGGAATAGCACCACTCCCAGAGGTCGACAGCTAGGTAGAGCAGAGAAGGGGAGTGGGTGCCTTCTTGCTTGTTGACATAGAAGAGTGCAGTGGTGTTGTCTGTTGCCAACTGCACCACCTGACCTTGGATTTGGAGAAGAAAGGCATGGAATGCCTTGATGATTGCCAACAGTTCCAGATGGTTTATGTGAAGTGGCAGTTCTTGTTGTGACCAGAGTCCGTGGACTGTGTGCTGAAGACAGTGGGCGCCCCATCCTGTGGGGCTGGCATCGGTTATGACCTGTATGGAAGGTCGCAGGGGCGACCGATGAGGAGGTTGTCTGGGCAAGTCCACCAGTCGAGTTGGGAGGCTAGCTCCGGTGTTACCGACAGTAGTGAGGACGGGAGGTCTGTCACTGGGTTGAACAGGGAAAGAAACCATGCCTGCAGAGACCTCATTTTGAGCCTGGTGTGTTGGATGACGGCTGTCGTCGATGCCATGAGCCCTAAAAGATGTTGGGCGTGATGCGCCAAAACGGAGTGGTGGGTTTGGAAAAGGCCTTTTGAATTTTTGTGATTCTTTCTGGAGGCAGAAAAGCTCTTGCGTAGGGGGAGTCTACCTCCATGCCGATGAACTTTGCTGTTTGTTTTGGGATCAGGTGTGATTTCTCAAGGTTGATTTTGAGACCGAGACTTTGAAGAGTATGGAGAGTTGTGTCTCATGCCTTTATGGCATCGTGGTACGATGTCGCCACTATCAACCAATCGTTGATGTAGGGATAAATGTTTATTCCCTGTAGGCCAGGGGTCTCAAACATGCGGCCCGGGGGCCATTTGCGGCCCCCCAGATGATAGTTTGTGGCCCTCGCCTTGCCTGCCCCCCAAAGCACCCACACATCCTCTGCTGTCAAGAGTAAAAAAAAAAAGCCTTGCCTCGCTCACCAGCTCTCTCCCAAGACAGCACCTCTTGCA